GCTGGGGCTCCCCGCGCCTGCCCCCCGCCCCTCCCGCACTTCTCCTCGCTGCGAAACTCGGGGCTTTTGTTTTTCTGTTTATTTATGGTTTTTTTCTGTTTGTTTTTTAATTTCTAAATAGACGACCCCCCCCAACAGACACCCTCCAACAGATTGTCATTTTCAGGCAGCGCCTCGGGATTCGCGGTGTGAATCATGCTACTGTTTAAAATGTAAACAGTAGTAAAAGCCGGTGTCTTTCTAAACGCTGAGGGCTTAAATGTTGCCAAACCTGATCAACCACTGTGCCTGAGATCCCCCCCGCCCCGTTCTGGAGGAGGATTTGGCTTGTAGCAGGTTCCCTCGGGAATCCCCCGCCGCGAAGCTGGGGCCGGGGGGAGGGTTCACCTGGGTGTCCCTGTGTCGGTGCGATGCCCCAGCACCGCCCCAACTCCGGGATGCGTTGTAATTTTAGATTTTTGCTAATGAGTTTGCCAGCGTGCCCTGCACACGCTGTCTGCCTTGGCCTCCGCTTGGGGATTGACAGCTAAAGCTGGTAATCCTGCTAACCCGGCCTCAGCAGGCGGTGACGATTCCCTTAATTGTTCTGAGACTGAGAGCTTGCGTTTTACTACCGCACAGGCACTGGCCGTGGATAAATCAAATGAGAGAGAAAATGATTTTTGCTAATCATTTTTTTCCTTTCTGCTTTGATGCAGCTGTCTGTGTGCCTCCCTCTGCTAGCTCAGGCACTGCACCGTTGACCTGTCAGCTATGGGATCCAAGGTTTAGGTTTGCTGGGAGACCTGTGATAGAACTTTTAACTTCCAGTAAGTAGTATCTCTCTGGTAGTTATTTAAAGCCTCTGTCTGCATTGTTCCAGACTGATTTCCTTTTTCCTCTGAGGCAACCTAGAGTAGGAAACTGCCAGTCTCTCAGGTAGCCTACTTCCAGCTCACTTGAAGCCTCACCTGCTTCTTGGGTTGGAGGCCAGCAGAGAACCTGCAGCGGGTGAGAGCTGGTCTACTTGCCTGCCTTTTGTGGAGTCGGCCAAAGATAACATTTCTTGTTTGGTCTGGGGCAGCACAGAAGTGGGCCCGTTTTGTTGTGATTCACGTATTCATTCCACTTTCAGGTCAGAAGATTAGCATTAATGAGGCTATATAAGGACGTGCTTGCTTGAGACATCTTTTTCCACCCTTCGAGCGCACAGAAGCATTCCCACTGATTTCAGTGGGAAAAGCTCTTTTGTCTGGTGTGCTAGTCTGTGTGCCAATTAGTATTTCATACTGATTGGAAAGGAAAAGACTAGGCACTGATTTATGAAGGTTCTAGGTGTTTGTAGACCAGGACATTTTAAACAGTACATGCAATTTTCAGATCAGTAATTTGGTAGCTGTTTGTTTGTTTGTTTGTTTGTTTCTAAAATCTGGTCCAGCATCTCAGCTATGGCTAAAAATGAACATAAAAGCCAGTTATGTCTGAAAATCTTGCACTGTGAAACCAAATTATTCCTGTGATAACAAATGTGGCCTGCAGAGCAACAGAAGATGAACTGAAAGTAAGACACTAAAATCAAATTGCAGGCTAGGTTTTTTGACAGTGTCCTTCACAGTGCCAGTGACCACCTGGAGTACAGCATTCTGTGCAGGTTGGCATTTATAGCAATCTGAGCCCATCTCAGTCGTGTAGGGAATCACTTTCCAAACACAGTTTTCCTGCCAACGGGGTTTGTTTGCTTGGTGATAAGAAACAATGGTCAACTCAGTTTGTTACTTGAGCATTTTAGTGACTGAGAAGTGAAATCTGGCATCATGTGCTAAATCCATTTTCTTAGCTAGTCAAATGCCAACTTGGCAGCCTGTCTAGAAAGCTGATAGCATTGGGACAGGTGTGATTGTGAAGGTTGTTTTCAACAGTCTTGAGTAAGTCTGCTTTTGAGACACCTCCTTCCATTGGGAAAAAACAATTACCACCTGCAGGACTGGAGTAGAAAGACATGGGCATTGTCTGCAGCTTATTATCATGCTTTTCAAAGTGCCTTAAAAGCAGGAATGGGTTCAGTTTTGAGTAAGGCTGGTATATACTCACTAGAGTGGTGTTAGCCATAGTTGAGAGGAGAGGAAAGCCTGGCATAGAGGACCTAATTCCCCTTGTTTTGTTGGAAGAAGCATAAGAAAAGATGTGACCTTTCCAATTAAAGATGAGGGACCTGATCTTCTAAAGAAATATAGTTCTATCTCATTTTTTTCAATTTTCTGCCTCCAGGGTCAATATGTGCTTGAACATACTGTCATTTCTCTCATGGGCATTTCTGGTTGCCAGAAACAGCCAGAAAGCTCAAATACTTTGCCAAAACCCTTCAATCTGGGAAAGCACCCATGCACTTGCAGTGGGACCCTGCTGAGTCAGTGCATTGTCTTGGTGCCACCCCATGTGGCTGGAGAAATCAGAACAACACCATCCTTGCGCACAGCATAATGATGCCCAAGTCTCCAAGCTGTGTCCCCATGGCATGCAGCTTCCTAAGGTCCTGAGACTTGACCTTTGGATAAAATCCAATGTTATTTGATGAAGAGTGAGAGTGGTATCCTCAGAGAGGACAATGCACTCTCGGTTGCATATCCCTATTTTACTGATGTCACAAACAAGTTATTCTTGTAGGCTGCAGAAAGCCTCACAACCACAAAACCAGCAATAATTTTATAAATGATAAGCTTGTTTTCTTCCTCCTCGTCCTCCCATATACTCTGAGTGCAGCAGACAGCAGAGATGTGCATTGCTGGAATCCAGAGAGTTTCGTAATGTGGCAGCCGCTTGCTGAAAGCCCTGCAGATACAAAACAACACTTATTTTAAGTCTTGAGAAACGTCTCCTACTAAGTAGAAGAAAAAAGCATTTAGGTGAAGCAATGTTGCCAGACCCATTTGTTTATGAGGCTTGTTGTTTGTCTTTATACATTTTAAATACTTTTTATTTTCATTCTGCTTTTTGAGCCTTTCAAGTTCATGTTTTCCATTTTTTCCATTTGACAAGAAAGTCTGGAATCAAGTCCTTGCTTTAAAAACAAAAATCCGGTTCAGAGTCCTGTATAATCATGTAGCTCCAGACATGGGGTGTTTAAAAATAAAGCCACTTTCACAAGAATTACCCATCTTGAAGGTGATTTTCTGTTCTAAGTAAATACTTTGTTGACAGTTTAAGAAGCTTTTAACAACACCTGATCTGTGTTTGCTTTCCAGGCAGATCTCTCTGTCTTTTCTTGCTCCCTCTTTTCTAAAAATCTAGAGCTTGTTTCACCTCTATATGTGCTGACGAGGTCAGAAATGTAGTGTACCAGCATGACCGGTGTGTTGAATAATGCATACCAATGCCTTCAAAAATACACGCGAAGATTTCATGCAATTGTCCCCTTAAGCTGCTGAGTGGTACCATGGGACACAGAGCCCATCTTCCTCAGAGACAGGAGGAGGGAGGTGGTTTGGGTTTACTGGGTGGAGTAAGGCGGGGAACAGAAAGCCTTGTGCAAAGCTTGAGCCTTAAGCTTCATAGCTCAATGTTTAACCTAGTCCTTGTTGTTGGGAGTTGACAGATGAGTGATTTCTTTTGGTTGAGCTTTCTGAATATACTTATTTTAAATCTGTCATTTGATGCAGTGGTATCCTCAAGCTGTATGCACAAGGCAAGAAGGAGACGTCCTTATTCAGTGTGAAGATTTGTCTTTCACTGCTACGTATGTAAAAGTGCCTGGAAATTTATATTCCAGGGGACACTAAAAAGCTTTTTGACGGGCTGCTCTTCCTGCTCTATCTCTAGCAGTAATAATGTCCAGTAAATGCAGAGACCTGACTGCCTGTCTTATTGCTATGTTCAAGTCCCATTCTGGGCTCCCAAACCAGATGCTCTATACTGGCATTTCTAGGAGGCTACTGCTCTATTTGTGTGGTTTGAATCGCTTAAGTCATTGGCCTTGTGCCTTAAAGTGCCAGCAGAGGCATGCTGTAATTGTCTGTAAATGCACCGTCTGTCATATTATTGTTTAATTATTCCAGCTTCTCACCGCCACGCACTGCTCAGTGTCTCTCTTGCTATCTTTATTTAATTGAGTGGAAAAAATCTGAGACTTGTGCTTCACTTACATCACTTTGTATTTACCCAGCATTGCTGGATCCTACTATGAAGTCCCAGCTTTTGTATGCAGAAGTCAGTCTTCTATACAGAAAAAATAATGTCAATATCTAAAGCATATGTTAGAAAGAGAATCAGTATTTTAACACATGGTAAAGTCAGACCATAAATCTCTTAACACAGTCAAATGATTGTATTATTCTGCCTTGAAACGCCGCTCCTCCCCCTGAGAAACAAGAGGGGGAAAGAAAACTCTTGAATAAGCAAGCCCTTGTCCTCACAATGCAGGACTGTTCTTAGCCCATCGCTCTGTGTTGCTTCTTCTTTTCTGTCTACTAACTCTCTCTTTCCTTGTGTGTCAAACGCCTGCCTCTTCAAGAGCCGTCTCTCCCTAGCCCATCCCTGTTCATCTGTTTCAGAGTATTACCAGGATGTCAGTTCTTTCCTGAGATCAGCTTGTGATGACCAGTTCCACTGCCTACTTGTTGCCATTTCAAACATCTCTACGCTTCCTCCCAGCCTTGCAACCAACCCCTTATTAACGTGTGTTGAAAAAATCATCTTTCAGAGCTCTCTCCAACGCTCTCCTTGTCCGTATGGCCTATAAAAAAACTTGGCAGCACGCTCACTGCTTTTCTTTCCTCATGCTCCCTGCGTCTGTGACAAATGCGTGTCATTTTTCTGGTCTTACATTTAGCTTTCAGTCTCTGAATCAGAACAGTCTTTTTGTACAGCACCCCCCACACAAAATCAAGATCAAGGCTCCTGTGCACTACCATGGTAATAATAAATATTAGGGTTGCTCACACTTGCTCTGCTCTAGTTTTCATGGCTCTGGGCGGA